ATCAGCTGTATATGCATTAGAAATAATGTCACCTGAAGGCAACCGATGGGAGTGGGACAGTAAGGGTACCACTACATAGGTTCATATTAAAGGAAGTGTGAAATGCATCCACAGGACTGTGCAAATAACAAGAAAAATGACAAGCACTGCCCTGAAAGATAGGGATGAAAAGGGGCTGACGTGGCAGACTACCAAGAAGATAATGCAATGCACGGTTTTCGTCAAAGACACCTCTGTGACAAGGAACGGGAGCTTTCTCGCCAGCTGGCTCCAAACAAACCCTGCACAAGAAAGACTTTGCCTCCAACCGGGACAGGAAGGCAGTGCTGTCAGGACATGGGGAAGCACAGCAGGCTGCCAAGGGGAAACTGAAGTACTTTGTTAATTCCCTGAGGAAGGTGCATTGAGTACAAAGAAGCCGGTCCTGGTTTGGCTGCTGCTCAGATGTGCTGAAAGACGCTGGGCCAAGTCCCAGCAGTGTTGACTATGTCTCTAATTACTTCTGACAGCAATGTAAAAACTAGCTGAGATATGCTGTTTCACAGGGCATCAACTCATCATTCAGATAAGTAGACTATCCACAACTTTTGAATCCCAGCCCAAATATGGGGAGCATAAGTTTCTAAGGGTAATGGTGAGAGTTCTAACAACAACAACAAAAATCTTTTCCCCTTGGGGAGCAATCTTGCTCCACAAGTTATAGAATTTGAAACGAAACATAATCAAATTTCAGGGGCAAATGAGTTAACAGTTTTGGCAGCAGATATGTTTGTTGCAACTGGCTGTCCTTGCACAAACCACTTTAAGGAGACTATCTTGGTGGAAAGCCATAAACGTTATTTACATAGATGGAGTTCCATCCTCTCCCACTCCAAAACAGGCTGGGTTGGTTATTCTGATCTAATATTTTCTTCATCATGGTTTGTGTGAGGCTAGGAGCACGCGTTAGATTTTGTTTTAGTTTGTTCTTTTAGGAATTTGATGGTAGTCCTTTGAGATACTAGTTTAAATTACGCAGCAGGGGCAGTATTGTAAAAACAGTTTCAGAAATCTAATATTCAAACAAAACCAAACTATTGCTTGTACCATGAGCTTTGTTATGCCCCAACTTAGCACGAACAATTTTCTGCAGGAAATAGCCCCCAACCTTTTTCGGAATATATCTTGCAAAATATTCTGAGAAGATCTTCAGTCTTCCTTTCCAGCAAATAGAAGAGAACAGCTTTCACGTTTGCTCCCAGGAGCTATTTTTGTCCTTTCTTTGAGAGCCATTCTCAGTCCCCTCCTGGTACGAAAAAGGTGGTTTGGCACTAAATTAATTCAGTAGTTTGAATTCACTGTTCTGTTCAGGATAGAAAATAAGACACTTTTAAAAGTTAGCCCAGTCTTGAAAAACGTCTACAAGAGCTTTACAGTTTTGTTTGGCAAACAATTTAAAATTCAAAGTTGCATCATTTTCTGCTGTTAGAACAGACCAACTCTTGCAACATGGCCTGCAACCAAACCAAAATCAAGTACACATCTTCTATTGATGTGACAAAGCCTCTGTTTAAAGAAAGATGGGATTTAATCTTAAAGACAACCTCAACAAAGCAGCTGATACAGGATCTGTGTAAAATTATTTTTTTATAGAATTGCTTGCACTAGCTGGCATTCTTTTCTTCAAACGAAAGACAAAAGTTTGGTTTTGGTAGTTACTGACTACTTTCAAGTGACTTTTCCTTTTACTTCAATTTAAAACAGGCAGACATTCCTTATTAAAATTCAAAGAATTCCTGTCTGAGTCTAAAGAGAAACTTACGGTGATTTTTGCTACCAAAACCTCTACATTTCCATATCCTGACATTACAGAAAAGGATGATCTGTCTGGCACTACAACAGTGTTTTGTAAATAAAGCCAAAGGATTTCTCTCACTGCTGTTTAAGAAATTAAATCCCTATCATGCAAACCTGGTACCAAACAATAATTTCCACCTGAGGAAGGCTTTAAACGAAGATACCTTAACTGTTTTCCACAGCTGTCACTCTGCCAGCACTGTAACGCAGGGTCAGGAACAAGCACGGCCCGCACTGAAATCCGGAGCTTCCCCGTTCTGCCGATCCCTGCTCTGACCAGGGCATCTGCGGCCTGAGCAGCTCAGCCGGCCTCTTCCCTTTCGCCGCCTGCGAACAGCGGTTATTCCCTTTGCATACGGGCTTCAAAGCCTCGGTTCGCGCCTCGGCCCGCACAACGCCCGCGGAAACAGCAGCGCTGTAATCACCCGCAGTATCGGCAAGCTTCAACTTACGCATCTCCCTCCGCCAGACCCGAGT